TTATTAATTGAGAAGAAGGTCCAACCTTAAGAGACCAATCCCTTTATTTTATTATCTAAATTGTATTAAATTATAAAATAAAAATCACTAAATAAGAAAAAAATAAACCTAACTTTAAGAGGCTAATTTTTATTTAAAAATTAATATAGCACAATTTGATGCAGCTGCAAATGTGGTGCACTTTTTAGATAAAAGAATCTGGTTAGCGTTAGGGCCCGGAATGAGTGACAATGAAAATATAAAATGTCCAGCTAGCAGCAGACTCACCGTGCTGCGATCCCATTTGTCTCCGGATTCTTCGTCTTCCGCCATGGCTTCTGAGAAAGAAGCCGCTCTTGCGGCTGCCCCCTCCGATGCTCCGACCATGTATGTTTCTTCTCTCCGGTTCTCAAATTTCTGCTTCTTTCTTTTGATTCTATTTTTGAAACGCATACAGATGAAAAACATGCGCTACGTTTGACTCGACTGAAAATGGAAAAGAACGGAAACAATTTTTCTTAGAAATTAGTGAAAAAATGTCAGCTTGATTCATGATATTGGAACCCTTTTCCTTTTTCTTATATCCAAACATATTCATTGATTGTTTTAGTAATTTAGGCGTTACTAGAATTGAATTGTCCTTTAGGTTTTTGTAAAAATAGTTTTCCATCCATTTTTATTTACTTTCCAAATGCATTACTTGCAGCTTTGACAAAATCATCAAGAAAGAGATTCCAGCAAATGTGGTTTATGAGGATGATAAGGTACTGCTATTCCTTTTTATCTGTTGGGACATGGTGAAATTTCTATTTGTAATGGTTTGTACTGATTAAGGTTTGGGTGGATTTAAGAAGTAGTCTAGTAGGGTAGCTAAAGACAGAACCTTGACTACAAAATTTGGATGCTTTTGCTCAATTCTTGTTTAGAAGTGAACTAAGGTGGTTTGGTTTTACTTTTAGTTGTTGGTGCGAACAACTACATGAATTGTATTTAGTTCAAGTTTTTTAATAGAATATCCAATTTTTTGCAAAAAGTATTTTCAGGTTGGATTGAACAACTAGTGTTGTTTTCTTGAATCATATAATAGATGCATTGTTCTGATTATCTGTGTAGATGAATTACTAGTTTTGCTTCTATATTTTCATTTTGAATATGGCTTTGAGTGTACTATAGTTTCCAGTTAATATAGATGGTTGCATATGTTAGTTGATCCATTACTTCTGGGTTTATAATTTGTTTGTGTTTTCTTGTATTTTCTTTTCCAGGTGTTAGCCTTTAGGGACATAGCTCCTCAAGCTCCCACACATATTCTAATTATTCCCAAAGTAAAAGATGGCTTGACTGGTCTGTCAAAGGTAATCCCCCTTTCTCAATCATATAGGGTAAGACAATAATTTTTTACTCTAATTTGGGGGAAGTCATAGGCCTTGCATTACAACTCTTCTTTTCAATATATTACCATGCCATCTATGAAATGTAACTCAATAGAGTATGAATGTCCCTTTTTTCTTTGTAATTGGGTATGGCATCCACTTGAAGATATCTTGCATCAGTTAGCTTTTGCATGATTTGGGAACACCCTGTTTTATGTATTGGTAGGGATTTTACCATTTTACAAATCTAACCCCTTCAAACATAAGCCGGTTTTAGAAGATACCTGCTTGATTTTGTCTGCTAATCTGCCTGACCTGTTCTAACATTTGCCCTAAAAGAGTGGTAAACATGCTTGTAAAATGGTTCTTGTTTGTGGTGCTTTGATGCAAATACAATAGGTGCTTTCTCTGCATTTCATCCTTCACTAAAGTGTTTGCCAAAATCAGAAGTGTAAGACCTTGAGAAAAGCACTTGAACTAAGCATTGTCAATGGGTTGTTTTGTGTTCCATTTCCATAACCGTTGGCTTCAGTGTTACTTCTTTGAGCTAACTGTGGCTTAGAACAATGCATTGGCTGTATATTTCAATATTTTTGTAGCCTCATAGGCAGGAAGTGGCACTGAAAGCTGACATTTATTTGGCCACTTCAGCAAGTCCTGAATATTCTTATTCTTAACCTCGAATGGTACTTTATTAAAATATTTTTATTGTTGGATATAGGACACTGTGCTCTTTTCCATGCCAAAAGATAATTGAAAGAATTTGTACAATTGTCATTGAGAACTTCTATTCTTATATCTGTAGGCTGAGGAAAGGCACTTTGAGATTCTTGGCCGCCTTCTTTACACTGCTAAGCTGTTAGCCAAACAGGAAGGACTGGAAGATGGCTTCAGGGTTGTGATTAATGATGGTCCACAAGGATGTATGTACAGTTTCTTCTTTCTCCATTTTACATGCTTAAATGTGTGTCATGTGTATGTTATAGAACTTTTATTGATGTAGGAGTGTTCCATTGCAGGTCAATCTGTTTATCACATTCACGTCCACCTCCTTGGTGGCCGCCAAATGAACTGGCCTCCAGGCTAAGATGGTGTAAATGTTGATTTGGGCAGGCAAGACTTTCATTGTAATGATAGTCCAGTAGTATTTGTTCTCTGCCCTGATTGATGATTGTCTAATCATATGTAAGCAAACTAGTTACTAGTTGCTTTCTAGTAAGATGCTCTGGATGTTCCATGGCACTATCTGGAGGGCTGCCCCTATGCTGGGTAAAGCCAATGACCCGTGTTAAGTATGAAAATAATATGCTGTGACTTAGCTATGCCCTGTGTTCCTCATTTTCTTCAAGTTCCAAGTGATGTCAATTTACATTTTGATGCTTTGAGCCATCCTTTGAATGTGTTTGGAAGCTTGTGAAAGATTTTGAAGCGTTAGACTGCAGGAATAAACAGTAAGATGGGGTGAAAGATGGGCATAATAACCCAAACGGGCGCCGGTTTTTTCAAACCATTAACTTAGGAACCATGTCCTGCAACATTACATGGATCAAGACTAGTGATTGGGGTTTTTGAAACTGTGTTACCAGTATAAAAGGGTAGCTCTTTTCTCTCTTTTACAGGTTCTGATCTCCTCAGTCCATTTTAAAAACAGATTAATCATATTTGGGCTGTGAGATTCTTAAAATTTTGCTTCGTTGTGACCCGTTTCTTGTTGAATTTCAATCAACAATAAGAGAGTAATGCTAATGAGCCAAGTAAATTAGCGGGAAATTTCAGTAATTGAGAACATTGAAGGTCAAAAATAGACAATAGAAGATGATAATGAAAGATGGCCCTTGATTTACCCTTTTAGGTCAAGACTAATGTCCGAGTTACCTCAGTTAAACTCAATTTGAGTTCAGTTCATTTGGTAAACAAATCAAGTTAGGGTAACCTATGACAAAATCTATTTGCTTAACTATGGTAGCTCTAAAAAAAAATGGATTAGAGTGAAGTTAATATGGACTGCAAAATATGTATCTCATATATATATATATATATATATATAAGTCCTTTGACTCCTTTCTCTTTTATGATTAACTGATATCAATCTACTCTTTGATGCTTTGAGGCATCCGTTTAGTGTGTTCAGAAGCTTATGAAAGATTTTGAAGCATTGGGAGAAAGCTGAGCATAAAAACTCAAACGGGCATCCGGAACCGAGTCCTGCAACATGACATGGTTCATGTCCTCATGTTGCACAAATGCAATCTAGCAATTCTCCGCTCTATGTCTCAGATATTACGGTTGGATATTTGGAGCACTCTACATAAAACATTCACATAGATCTTTGATTGCCGAAAGAGTTTGGCACTTACAAAAGTACATGAAATCTTCGAAGAGTACACATCCACCAAATGTTTCTTGCAGTTACAATACATATAGAGCACACTCGTCTAATCACTAGACTTAATATGACAGAACATCTATCTTTGAGTTATTGGAGCTAAGGCCTTTTTCGATTGGAATCAAGTTTAGAGAGCCAGAACCTGTTGTTGAAGTCATTCCATCTCTTCCTTTTCCTATCAAAGATGTCTGGTCCAAAAGTCATAGTATAAAGCTCAACAAGAAAAGGAGACAGTAACAGTACAAAGATAATGATCGGAAAACCAGCAAGCAAAGTTACTGGTATGATTATCCACAAGCGACCTTGTAGCATAATGAAAAGAGCAACACAAAATGCTACCATCATTGCTGCAATAGAGATGAAGAGTGAAGAGATCCCAATAATTAACTTCACGGGTAAGGATTTAAAGAAATCTTCATAAGCATAACGTGAAGCAAGAATCCCCAAAAACATTAGCACCGAACTAGATGCAGCAAAAAGAGAAATTGCATCTGATGCTACAAATATCATGAATGGCACGGTTGGAGAAGGTACTGTAGAAGAGTCTGTTGTTTTGTTCAAAAATATAGGGAAGCCTGTATTTTGATCATTCCCACCAGGAACAGTGAAAGCCACAGCAAACATAATTGTAATGATTAGAGTACCTACAACTGTAGAAGATTCTGCTGTTTTCTTCACCCATTCCTCCGCTTCTTTTAGCAACTTCTCGTGTTCGTTAAAAAACACTTGGGAAGGAGTTTCACCCCGAAAATTTTTTTGATAGTTGTAGAAATGTGGAACAATGCCTTTCACTGCCTACATTAATTTCAAAATATTATTCTAGATGTTTTGGTGTGAAACTCATTATCAATAATCAGAATTAATGGAGCCACACGTGACATCAAAATATAAAATTTATTAATTGACAGAACATTTAAAAGCATGAGATGCTTACATTGAACCAGCGTAGCTCACTTTGCAACCGAGCTGCACCTGAGATGTGATCAAGGTCAGAACGAGGAGCTAACTTTGCTGCTAAATGTAATAAATTGTTTCCATCTCGATCTTTGGTAAAAACAATATTTGTATCAATTCTTGCATTAAATCCATAAAGAAATTGTGCCACTTCCTCTTGACGATGTGCCACAGCACATGCAAACATGTTCCTTTCATCTTCAGGATCAGTGCGGGTCCATAATCTATCGGTATTAATTTTTGCAATTTCAATTGCAATTTCAATTGCAATCTCAGGGATGCCATTCTTGATAGCTTGAAAGGTTGCTTCCACTGCTCCACTTTGCACAAATTCATCCTCATCCAAAGCTGATAATTTTCGACATATAAAATGCATAATCTCACGGGCAATTGCATCCATCAACTTTAAATCATATATTTTCGTTGCTGTTGAAAAAAATATATTTTGCTTCAATTCTACTAATAAGAATTAAGATCAAAAGGCCGAAAAAAAAAAAGAGAATCAATAACAAAAGCTAATTAGGAAAAGGAGAAAAAAGATGAAAAAGAAAAAGGACTCATTTGATGGACATCAGTGCTTTTCAAGAATTTCTGATATTGAAACCAGTGTCTCTGTCATGAATGAGTTATATTCATAATTTTTTTTTCTTTAAAAAAAAAAGTTATTTCATTGGTATAATAAGTGATTGCTTTTCTATTTAGCCAATAATCTCTACAGAAGTTATTAGTGAGAAAAAGGAAAGAAAGCTCATAACTACTATACCTCTTCGTTGAGCTGCAACACTGCCAACACCATCAGATAGAACGCTTCCTTTATCTACCTTCACTCTTGTACCTTCAGTTACAATTGCAATAAAAAAATAGCATTTAATACACTAAAAATTCAGAAAAGCATATTGGAAAACAAAGAAAGATGGCATGCAAAACATCCCAAAATACTCTATTTTTTGGCCAAAAAATATATTAAAAGAGAAATTATGTTAAAATTAAAGAGGTAAAGATAAGCGATGCTAACATTTATATATCCATCGTCTCCAAAATGCTAGCTGATTTTCTCTAACAAATGATGGTGTTTGAGCAAAAGTTAAAATGATCGGTTTGGTACCCTCCTTATAGAATCTATATATTGCAAACTTTGGATAGCTGTGGAGGAGATGGAGTGCAATATCTGATATATGTCAAATTAAGTTAATTTGTTAGAGAAAAATGAAATAACAAAATTATAGAAAGAGAAGATGAATGTTAGAGTTCTTACCAAACATTTTCTTAGTTATACACTCTTCGAGGAGGTTGAAGCCATAGTCTCCCTTTAGACATCCTTGCTGCAGGGTATTGCGGTAGAGGTGGCGAGTCATGTCCTCATGGCCTGCCCTGCACGCCAATTGAACCGGGAGGATATTGTCGCCATTTGGGATAGCAAGCAAGTTCTCGTTCTTTTTAATCAAGCGTTTAGCAATCTCCATCATACCACTACGAGCAGCATAGGAAAGAGCTGTGTTGCCATTCTTATCTTTTATATTCAAGTGGTGACTGTTTGCTGAATTAGTCCCGTCGATCAATGCCTTGGCAATCCATTTCTGACCAGCCGTAATTGCAATGTGAAGAGCAGTTTGCCCATTTTCAAAGGTTATAGATATTGCATCTGGCTTGCTTCCAATTAAGTCTTGTACTCCATAATATTTCCCTTTGGAAATAGCGTTACGCATGGCATTTGCAAATTGCTCATTTGGATCTGGCAAGCCAATAATGGTGGTAATAAGGCAATAGCGTGTGTAAGGTGCAAACTAGCTAGTTCCGTGTGTTTGCATCGGGAGGAGTGAATAGTTTACGGATTATGTAATATATTTATTAAAAAATTATTTTTTTAATTTAAAATTAAAAATAAATAAATTTAAAAATATAATTATATATAAGATAAAAATTAATAAAATTAATTATATTTATATTATTTTTTAATAATCAAACCAAATAAAAAAAAAAATGTGTTAGATCATAAAGTATTCCAATCACTTCTCGAGTAATTTCAATCTAAGTGTACAGTAAAAGAAAAAGGTGTAAGTCAAAAAAGTTAGGTGTCTATCAGTATTTGTATCCTACCACGTATAAAGTTAATTAGTTATTCACTTCAAACTTTTATGTTTAACTAAACCTGAAGTTGTCTTTTACATAGTTTGTCTATATATATATATATTT